CCACTGCCCGCACCCCAGCGGGGTTTCCTGCGGGTGCGGAGGCTGCTGAGGACCTGCCGGGGACCCAGGCGATGTGCTGCCTCACCATCCACCTTATTTTAAAGGCAGCTTAGCTGAGCAACACCACTACCCAGCTCTGGACTGAAGGAACTGAATAATACATGCTTCAATATTTTTTTTTTTCCCTCCCAAAGCTGCGTTTAGCCCCAGCCGCAGCTCTCGGCGCAGCAACGGGAAGCAGGCAAACGTGCTCACTCTCCATCGAAACCTCGCCGGGGGAGAAAAAGCAGGGAAGGGGCAGGTGAAGCTGTCGAGAACGGCCCTTTCTGCCTTGGAGCACTGCAGAAATAAAACCCACAACTGCGGCTGGTGGCTTCTGAGGGCCCAGCGAACAATGAGCTCACCCCGGCCCTGCCACGGGAAGAGTAGGAGGCCATCGCAGCCCTTTAAATGTTATTTCGGCACATGAGCTGCGGTCCGGTGAGCTGCTCCCCTGGCTGGGGAAAAGGGGGTCAGCAGGAGCCTGCAGGGTCCCCGGCAGCTCTGCAATGGGGAGAGGAAAGGGAAAGGGCTGCTGCCGAAGGGGGAGCAGGAAAGACCGAGTGTTACAAATACTGCGGCCGTGGGCTGCGAGATAACCCCGCCGGGGCTGGGAGCCGCAACGGCGCCGTTTGGAAAGCGGGCAGAGCAACACAGGAGGGTGCGGGGGGGGCGATTTCTCACTATGACCATTTTTAAGGTTTTAGAGGTGTTCCTGTCTGACATCAAGGCCCAACCAAGGCTCTCCCATCTTGTTTGAAAAAAAAATAAATTGAAAAAAAAGCGGGTGAGACCAATTGACGCAGCACAGCTGCAGCTGTAATGGGAAAGTGGGGCCCAGTGCCAAAACAGGCAGAGCCGAGACCTGGCCTTGGTCTCCGGCAGACCCAGGGAGAGCCAAAATCCCTGCCCTGAACCAGGGGAGAGATACGGGTCTTTCCTTTTGGCACACACAGACATGCACGCAAAAAGCACACACACTGGCTCTGAGAACACCTCCCAGTGGGACCCTGGGTAAAGGTGCCCCGTTCCCGCAGGGTCTGAGGTTCCACATTGGGTGACGGGTAAGACAAGAAGGGAAAAAAAAAAAAAGGCAGAACGAAATAGCTTGCTGTGAGTTTTCTCATCCCCAGCCCAGATCTACACGGCTTGTCTTTCACACCGGGCAGGATTCAGAGGTTCAGGCTCGAGCAGGGGAAGGAGCGGGTTGGTACGCACCTCCAGCCGTGCTGGTCACTCCCGCTCTCTGACCCACCTTGTACCTACCTGTGCTACAACCACAGGGCAGTCTCTAAGACATCTCCCCCTTACCATCAGCCCCTCAAACTGATCTGAAATCATGTCCTCTGTCCCTGCTTTCCCCATCTAGAAGGTCTAAGGAATGGATTACAACTCGTCGTCCTGCTGTCTGAAGAAGACAGGGCACAGGTTTTCCCTCACTGATCACAGCACAAAGAGCTCAAAGCAGCTGGATCTGCACAGGCAGGCCCCGCCGGAGCATCTAACAACCCTAAATGCAAAAGCCATTTCAAAGGGGAGGAAAAGCCCCAGGAAACTCAACGTTTAAGAACTTGGTGGGGTTTTTGTTTGTTTGTTTGTTTGAAATCAAAAGCTCTTTATCCTACCTGGTCCCATAACGCTGCGGCCACTTGGTCTATTACTGCGCCCAGTTCTCTGTACTCCCCAGAGTATCTGATATATGCCCAGGTACACAGTGTGATAAGTGTCAAGCCCATGATCATGTTGCACAGACTGGCTATGATGTCCAAGCCAATGAAGCCGGTCACTCCAGCTATCACGTAAGTGATGAAGATGACCACAAAGAGCGTGGCGGGGGTGCGGGCGGCGTGGAAGATGTTCTTGCTGTCGTTGTGCTTGATGTACTGGATGTAGAGCTCATCTATCTCGTTCTCCAGCTGCTGGAGGTAGCGACGGCTGAACTCCTCCCCACCCATCTTCTTCACCCCGCGAAACAGCTTCACAGCCTCCTCCTTCAGCTCCATGTGTTTGGTCTGGAGGTCACTAGGTGCAAGGAAGGGCTTGTCCCCACCACAGACCTGCGTGGGAAACACAATCCAATCACTCCAGAAACCTCAGCACCCACAGCTCCTGTGCTGTGCCGTGCAAACCACTGGAATTCAGGCTCTACAGGCTCTTGTTTGGCACGGACCGCTAGGTCCTGCAGGAAGACCTCCACGACCGTGCTGTCCGTCCGGGACAGCTCTGCAAGGTGCATGTTAAAATGGGGCAGTGGGTGTCTGCACTGGGAAGCTGCATCCCACAGCTCCCCAACGCAATTCAGCCCAAGCCAGGATCTCGGGCAACATGGACGGCTGAGCTACACTGACCGGCAGGAGCCTGAACCCCAGCATTTTCTAGTGCTGGAAACTCTGCAGCATTTTCCTTCTGCTTCACAGTATGGACACATTAGTTTTAAGGCCCAGGGCAGTCCACGGGCAGCCTGGCCACGCAGCTCTGTACCTTTTTCCTGCCAACAGGCAGCGATCTCCAATACTGATGAAGAGAGTGGGGGCCTGGAAGTGGCTGGAGACAGCCTGGGATCTGAGCTTCACCTTAAAACATCACAACCATCCCCTCACCAGAGCTGAGAGATGGGCTGACAGGGCAGGGCATAGGTGAAAAGCCAGTTACAATTACTTTATCCCCTAATTAGCACCAGCCATAGCACGGGCTGCACGGGCACGCAGCACTACCACCCCACTACATCACATTTTTGGGTTGCATCTACGCTGGGAAGAGGATAAAAATTCAGCAGAGGCCACATGGTCTGCAAAAAGCTGCCATCGGATGAAAGTGACCATTTGTCAATCATCACCTTCCCCTGTCCTGCCATGATACCCTGACCGGGCACTGCTCTCCTCCAGCCTGCGAGAAAGCCCCTTTTTCCACCATGAACATAGGAGAGACCCTTTTTGGGACCCTGAACATGCAGCACTGGAACCAGTCCTGGCCGAGTCCATGCAGGACGTTTTCTACCAGGAACTCAGGTAGGGAGGTTTCCCCGTGAGGACAGGAGAGCCAGGAGACATCAGCGCTGTGAAAGGACATGCTCAGCACCACCTACCTCTTCCATTCTCCTGCTGTAGGTATCTTTGGCAGTGGCAACCGCTGCTAAATTGTTGGCTTCTGCTGTGGCCTGCAAGAAGGGCAAAAGGGGTACAAAGTTTAGAAAGACAGGGTTAAAAAGTGTAATTGCAGAGAGTAGCAGCCACTGGTTGCCTGGGTACCCATGGTCCGCACGTCTACGTGCTCATGGTACCCTGGCGCACACAAACACAACTAAACAGCTCCCTTGCCTTAGCCAAGCGTACTCTCCCCAGCCTCTGACCGCTGCCAAGTAAGATCATCCCATATTTACATGTCCAGTCTCCTCAGTCCCCCCCAAGCAAAAGCCTGCCTGAAGAGAGGATTCCTACCCTCCAAGCCAGAGCAACGAAAACTTTGGCTTCGGCTGTGGGAAACAGCCAGAAAACAGATAAAAGGCTCAGTCATGTAAACAGCTACAGCTGCAACCTCCCGCAAAGCCATCTGGCTCAGAGAGCAGAGCTGCAGCCCAGCAGCCGCTGCCCGCGTGTGGGGCCATGTCACCTCCGTGTGCAGCCCCACCACAGCCAATTTATTGGATCTTTTAATTTATATCCAATTTACCGGATATAAATATTCCCTATTTACCTGCGGGGGAATAATTTCAGCTAAGCTGGCTGACGCTCTGTGAACAGACAGCAACTCACCACAGTCCGGCCAAGGCACACGAGCCGTGCTGCCGCAATTGCTAAGCCATATCAGACTCACGACTGCCAAATCCTTCCAAAAGGGCTGTTTCTTGGGTTGTTACTCTACGGCATTTGAAATAAAACCACAGAAGACCCAGCGTGCTGCACTAGCTGGACACCTCTGACAATTAACTGGAAATCAATGGCAATTACAGTGGATGAACGCCCACCAGCTCACAGTGCACACTCACGTACCTGCAGCATCGACTTTGGGTGTGGCAATTCTTCCCCTTGGTAGATCTTTATGTATGCCTGCAAAACAGTGCACAGAAAATGAAATCACATCAAATGTGGCATAAACGAGTAATACGGAAACACCCCCACCCAGCTCCAGACACAGCTTTAACAGGATTCAAAAGCACAGAAGAGGAGGACGTTCCTGGCACAAGATAGCTTTGGCAGGGGATGCTCTGTCAGAAAATGCTACGTAACATAGCTCGAGGTCGACTCCTTGGGTGGCCTGGGTCAGTCACTCCAGGCTCTCACTCCACCACTTACGCTAAGGATCTCTACCATCGGATTTGCACCTACCTTCACCCTTCACCGAAGGAGAAGGAGCCAGAGTCAGGTAGCCCTGGAGAGTAGGTGGTGAGAATTACTCACTGATGTCTTGCATTAAAATGTCCCAGTAGTCATGACAACAAATATAAGTTTTTTCCAAAGGCAATAAGAATACAGCCCTCAGCCTACCTCCCTCTCATCCTCAATTCCCCAAGGGAGGAAAACAGCCCTGCCCACTTTCTCTGGCTTACTGCATGGTCAAACACACGACCGTGAGGTAGTTGGTCTCTGCGGCAATGAGAGTCAGGCCTATTAGCTGGACCGAGAACATTTCCTCCAGCCATCAAGTGCTGGCCTGCCTGCTGCTGCTTTCCCCTTTAACTACAGTGAAAGTGCAAGTGTGCCACAGATGAATAAGCCCAATACCTTAAAATACTCCACAAGGCCTCGACAGGTGATATGGTTTCCATTGATCTCCTTAACATCCAGGCTCTCGGGACTAAGAAGCCAAGGAATCAAAATCTTCAAGTTCTTGATGAACTCATCGTCTATTTCTGGAAACAAAACCCAAAGTCATCAGCACCAGCCCAACATCAGCCTTGTGCTTCAGCGTGCACTAACACGAAACAAGGGCAGGGGAGTCAAGCCAGAGACTCGGACACCCTATAATTTAGTGATGTGAGCACTCAGAAATGATTGTGGCCCCAGTTAAGTTGTTACTTAACCCACGGACAGCATATACAGCTGCGCATATATCCACAAACCAGCTTCACGGGCTCAAAAATACTTGCGCGAACACAAATGTGTCTGCATGGGGGAAAAAAACCTGCTTTTGCTGAGGACGCTGGTAACGTGCTTGCAACGCTGATAGCCAGAGAGCAGCATCTTCTCGCCTAGACGCATCCACTCTTTGCAAAGCATGACCCGTAGCGTACAGGGCATGACCACATGCCGTTACACCTTCTGCCCTTTGCTCTGCTCCACGGCACTCACGGTGAAAAATCTTCTGCCAGGGCTTAGGCTCTCAGCCCTGCCACCTCCTGTGCCAGCAGGTAAGATTGTCTGCGCCAAGTTCTTGGTCCTCTATGAACCCATAGGTGAAATTCTCATTACAAAGCATTTTAAAGCTTTTGTAAACCATTAGGCACTTGGTACGGGTACGAAGGACTCCTACAAGTGACTGTGCATTTACACCTTGGTGCAGGGACCAGGAACCGGCACAATCTCTGCTCCTACCAGCCCGACCCCTTTTTGCCAAAGCACGGAGCTGGCACAGGGTGCTCGGTGAGGGGTCCGGGAGCTGCTTGTGCCACTTCAACACAGGCACACTCAACCCCCTCCCCCCTTACCAGCCACTCCTACGGCTTCCTAGTCTCTGACATCCATTTATCGCCATTTAAATTAAATCGTATGATACTGAAGACACACAAAACAATGCAACGTGCACGCATTTGGAAGGTAAGGAGAGAAGGGAAGTTTCCCCCCATTTCTTCCACCAGAGCACAAAAACGTGGGTACAGCTGTGAGGGAACAAGAAAACGGTGTCGAGAAGCCGCTGACAATTCCCGTGCCGGTTCCGCACTTCCGCACACCCCACTCGTTCAACACTACTCAGCACCTGAAACGAGGCGGGAAACCAAGAGAGCCCAGCTCCCTTTCCACAAGCGTGCCTCCCCCCGGCTGCCTCCCGGTCCTGCCTGCTGGGTAGCACGGAGTTTGCCAGAAGAACAAGTCTGAGCACTAGCCAGACACAACCAGAGAAAAAAAATAACATCTTTCTGTCTGCTAATTTATTTTAAGTGACTAATGGGCCACTTTATTGCTAAGATTGCAAGCAGCCTGTAACCAGCGAAGTTGGGTCACAACCAACAACTAAAAAATCCACCGCGTGCAGCTCCTTTCAGGGTGGAGAATCTCACCACAGCTTTTCTTCCGTCCCTCTCTTTTTTAACCTGTTGAAC